GGGGAGGAGAGGGGAAAGGAGGGCAATATAAAAGGAATCCATACAGAACAAACTTTAGTAATACAATAATGCTATTTCAACACATGCAATGAGGAAGACACATGATGATAAAAACAGGTGGGATTCTCACATATCTCTTTACAATCACCAGTATTCCAGAATGAAGAATTTGGGTACCAACCCATTTGTATGGTAAGCATTATATTATTAATATCCTTTTAATGTATCCACTCATACACCGTATTTATCAGCCTGAATACAAACATAATAAATGCAACACTATAATTTTAATATAGATCAGTGCTGCTGTTAGGTTTCACACTTTTCAATAACCAAAACTCAGAAGATGTATCATATTTCTTGCTTCTAAAGAACAATTAATCAGCTTTAACATTATCTTATAATATGACAAATATTTCTCAGGAAATAAAGTAGCTACTTTTTAAAAAATCTGACAGTAATCTGTTGTCAAATATTTTCTAAAAGTTTTTGCTAGTAACCTTGAACTTTCTATTCGTTCAAATCATCTTTTTTTTTTACTTCCTGAAACTCTACTGGAGTTTACGTTTCAATTTATTTTAATCTTTCATGTTCTCTGTATTAATCTTTGAAATGAGGGGGAAAATATCTGTCACAGACATGAAAAAGTCAAACACAGCTATTTTATTTGTATCTTGTGTAAATACAAGAATGAAACAGATGCTTATTAATTAAGTGTAGGCAGGTGATGACAAGGCACAATGGCACATTGCACCAGCTGCGAAAACGGCAGACAGCTTTTTTTTCCCCCCATCCAGTCCATTTTCATATTATTCAACAGACGCCGCATGCAACAGAAAAGGTGTCAAAACAAAATGATAGTGAGAACTAAGAAGTCATCTTTGCTAAAACTTTGGCAAGTTTTACCTGCCTTTTACAATCATACTTTCATGTGAAAGAGTATTAAGAAGTTTTATAGCTGTTTCAGTGAGCTTGTATCAGTCTCAGTTTTCCAGACTCCAAATAACTAAAATATTATTTATGAACTAGTGTTGCAAACAATATGCCAGCATGATAGACAGCCCTGTTTTAAGCATGGAAGACACACATGCTTGAGCTTGCAGAAAGAGACCAAAATGAAAGTGTGCATTCTGAATAATGCTTAAGATCCAGAGAAAGTGGAAACTGGAAATGAAAAAAAAACATTAAGAATAACTTTTTGGATTTCCATCTCTCATCCACATGAGCTCTATATTCAGTATAGTCAGTCCTTACTATTGAACACTATAACCTAATGAAACAATGAAAGATAGAAAGGACCTAAAAGTAACAATTGAAGAAAAACACTTTAGAGATACATTCTAAATCTTTCTTCAAAAACTCCAGTGCAGCAAATGATATAATGAGATATGCAGTTAAGGGTACCATTCCTAAGTGAAGAAATAAATAATGAGTTTTGCAAATACATAAATCTTCACAACAATATTTTTATATTTGTAGTACGATTAGGTCCAATTATAATTGTCATTCTATCTTCATCATCTGAACAAAGATAACAATTCTCTACCACCATATAAAGAGGTGTGCCCAAACCATCAGAGTATTTAAAAATATTATTTCTTACATCCTCTGGAATTATTTAGTCAATATTCTGATAGACACTGCTATCAAGCACTCAATAATATCTTTTTTGTTCTCTCTCTTTAAATACTGAAAGTTTGGGAAATTGCTGTGAAAAATCATCATCATCAAGCAGTTGGTTCTATATAAATATGTACACCAATTATAGTTACAATTAACTTTCCATAAGAGGGCTAACACAAGATAATCTGTTCCAGAAATATTCCTTTCAACTAGCGGCAACTTAAAATGTTATACTAAGTAAATAAGAAAAAAATGACTTTTAATATAAGTACATAACTAATATGCCACCATGTCGGTAGCATTACCTATTTTGCATTTAGCTCAGTTACAATGCCAGTTTTTTCCAGACATTTTAAATTACTCATTAAGATAGCTTTATATAATTTTATTGGATCTGGGCATTTAACCAAATGAGCTTCAATTCCATTTCATATGCACAGACAAATTCTTCTAACTGGCACTCTCCAGTGGAAATAAAAGTTCCAACTAAGGGATCATTCCAATTATCAGAGACTCATAAGAATACATAGTGTCTTGGTAAATAGTCAATATTTTGCCTATATCTTTGTAAAGCAGAGTTTGGAGAGTTATGCAGCTAAACATGCTTTCCTCTTTCCCCACTTTGGGCTTTCCAGGCAAATCACTGAGCTGAACTATTCTTGCCACACAAAAAGCTGTGGTCATAATTAGTGGAATATAATACAGCCTTAAGGATCATTTACATGCCATGGAATCTGCCTTTAGCAGGTAGTATATCTGAATCGAGCATCTGGAAATGTAGCTCTATCAGGAACCATGTTCTCTAGGGACAAACAGGAATTAGTGAGCCTAAGGTTTAGAGAGGACTCAATGAGCTAAGGTATGGATTATTATTATCTACTACTATAATATTGGGGGAAATCTGGAGGTTAAGGGAACGAACTTCAGTCTTCATCTATGGATGGAAGGGGAACAGCCTTCGCTGAATGAAATATTAGGCAATTTAATGAGTCAAAACTTAATTGAAAGGCAATGTAAGTGTGACACAAATTGTCATAATCTCCCAGAAATATTCTAGAATGTTGTTGTGAGAAGGAAGGTAGAATTTTCACAGCTGTCCTTGCCAGACGTTCCTTTAAAATCTTTACCCAAAGGATCACCAAGCCTGTTTTTTGTTTTGCATTGTTTTCCTTCCGCACAAAGTTTGAATGATTGCATGTCTGAGATTATTAAGGCATACCAGCAGATGTGTTTGACAAAGCTATTTATCTCTCACTGCTCTCACAGGAGCACAATAAAGTTATCGCTGAAATTTCAAACAAAATGTAAGCTTTCCAGAACCTTTTCTAATAACTACTCTCTATAATACTATTTTGAAAGATTCTGATAAAAAAGTGTTTTGCTATGAAAGAAATATTTGCTGAGTTGTCAGTGATATAAGGATAAGCATTTAGTATGGGAGGGGAACATATTTGCTGTATAAACTTGGTGAAATTCTGAAGATCAGAAGCAAAAAAATATTCTTTTATCCTTTCTCGTTTTGTATTTGAATACACTAGATGACACTAATAAAATATTGCTAAATTCATTAATTATCTTGAAAACATTTCCTGTTCTTTAGAAATACTATCTTTCAGGCTTCAATAAACAAATCGCATAAAATACCAAAATCTGTCTCTGAAAAGTAAAAAGTGGAAGAGAAGGGAAGCCATTTAAGAAGAGCACTTTCTACCCTATGATATCTTTGAAGGTTCATTCCAAGTTTCAGGGTGAGTTCAAGCACAATAACTACTAAATATATCATCATTAGAGATTTAATACTTCAACTTTGCAAAATTGTTGGCTAGATTTATACAGGCTACCAGAGGAATGTGAAAATTGCATTTGTTTTTTGTATTAGCAGTGCCTGATGTGTTTTCAGGAGGAAAATTCACACTATGGAGAGTAATCAGTGCCATCTCTTCTACAGAGACACCACAGTGAAGAGTAATTGTAATATACCTGGGGTACACATGGGAACCCAGCAGGCATTATCAGATACTACAAAGGATATTCTGTTCGTGGTTACTGAAAGCTACATGGCACAGGAACCATTTTTTGTATGGGTAAGTAAAGCATATAGCATACTTTAGGCATTTTGACCCCAATATTGCAAATACTAGTGCATGCATGTAACTCCCACGAGTAACAGATTTCAGTAGGACTAGGCAGAGTAGTCAAGTTAAGCAAGCACATACATCTCTGGAAGATCATCAGGGCATATATATAAATAACAGTCCTAACTTGTATAGTAAAGAAAATTAAATACCTTGCTATATATACCTTTGCTATATATATAGCAAACTGTAGAATTATTGGGTTTATAAATGTCTACTGGTTATGTATTGGTTAAAATTGCTATAGGATGAAACACCCTATGAGCCCTAATCCTTAAGAAAAGAAACCTAAAGCAAAAACATTTAAAGTCTGTTATTTAAAAAAGCTTTTTTTGCACTCCAATTTTTAATTTAAATAATAGATCCAATTTAAAAGACTAAATTTGGCATGAGTGAGGCCATACCCTGTCTAATAGCTTTGATTTAACTAACACAGGGGAAAAATTAACTGAGCTGTAATTTAAACACATACAAATAACCACTCCAGCATTTTCTTTACGTGTAAAGTATACATTCCTGAATCCCTTATACTCAAAATGGCGTCACATTTCACTTATTTAATAAACTAACTTTTTAAAGATTATCTAATATCTAAATTTAGATGTGGCGCCATGATAGACAAATTAAACTAATATCCTATTAAAATAACTAGTTTAGATTCTTCACTGGTTAAATGTAATTCAAGATCTGCATATTAGTACATTTTTATATATACACAAGACATTAAAACTTATTCCTTTTCATATTAGATTTGGTAGGCAGTTGTGAGCAAACATTTCACTTGACTGAAGAAACTGAGGTGTTTTGAAGAAGAGGACAGGTATAAAGGGTTTTTTAATGAGGGCACCACAGAAAAAGTCATAGTGCAGCACTTACAACCTGTGTAAAAATGTCCTTGCAGGAGAAAGAAAAGCAGTTTTCATATGGGACTTGAATTCCGAACTGAATGTTAGCTGCTGATTTATTGGTGGAAGTACATATGCATCTATGAATTGTAAATGCTAGTTTTGCCATCAAGATCCTGAACAGGCCCATCAGTAGAATTGGGAAGGGGGCAATTCTTGCATGAGTTGCTTTGCACTTCTCTACATTCTCAGTCTCATCCCTAATATTTTTTGATCTCAACCAACTGTCAGGATCTGAAGTGTCTCATGCTTCCATGAATGAATGACTAATACCAAATATCTTTCACAGATCTGAGATAGTTCGATACCTTCCACAGTAGCCCTCACATGTATTGCACATATTGTTTCAAGTGGGAACAACCTCAGTTACCTCAGACAAAGATGCAGAAATAAAATCCCAACTTGAAACAACATCGGTTTCTAACTGATTGTAAATTAACTAAAAGATTTAGCAGAGAGGAGAAAGGGATAAATATCCCAGACTCATATGTATTGCTTTTTTCAGGATGTCTTTTCTTTTTCAAATTAGAATATTAAAACACAGTATTCCCTTTATTCTATTAATCATCTCTCCTCCTTTGCTACACTCCCTGTGAAATCAGAACTCCTGCCACATTCAGGGTTCAGCTGTTTTAGGATTAAGTCTCACTATCCACACTGTTCTGTAAATTAAGTGAGGAGTGAGAAAGAATGGGGGATGGAGAGAGAATCAATCCACTCTCTTCCATCCAGTACTTTGAACTTTGCTGACAAATCACTCAATACTACAGGAACAAGCCATCAGTCCTGTATAAATTTCAGTTGGGAGCAGAAGTCAGATTACTCAGCTGCAAGGGAAGAAAATGCAGCCATCAGGATTTTTTTTCTGCGTAACTTGTGCATGAATCAGTGCATTCAACTTTGTCTTGTTATACTTATAGGCTGTTTCTACACTGGCAAGATTTTGCGCAAAAGCAATTGCTTTTGCACAAAATCTTGCCACCTGTCTACACTGGCCGCGAGAATTTGTGCAAGACCACTGATGTTCTAATGTACAAAATCAGTGCTTCTTGCGCAAATACTCTGACACTCCCACTCAGGGATTAGCCCTCTTGTGCAAGTATTCTTGTGCAAGAGGCCAGTGAAGACAGGCAACATTAATTTCTTGCACAAGCAAGCCCTATGGCTAAAATGTCCATCAGAGCTTTCTTGCACAAGAGAAAGTCTACACTGGCATGGATGCCACTGGCCATCACCTACAGTCCCCAGCTAAAACCTCTCCAACGCATCATTAGTGATCTACAACCGATCCTGGACAATGATCCCTCGCTTTCACAGGCCTTGGGAGGCAGGCCAGTCCTTGCCCACAGACAACCCGCCAACTTGAAGCATATTCTCACCAGCAACTACACACCGCACCATAATAACTCTAACTCAGGAACCAATCCATGCAACAAACCTCAGTGCCAACTCTGCCCACATATATACACCAGCAACATCATCACAGGACCTAACCAGATCAGCCATACTGTCGCTGGTTCATTCTCCTGCACATCTACTAACATAATATATGCCATCATGTGCCAACAATGCCCCACTGCTATATACATGGGCCAAACTGGACAGTCCCTACGTAAAAGAATCAATGGACACAAATCAGATATTAGGAATGGCAACACAGAAAAACCTGTAGGGGAACACTTGAATCTCCCTGGACACACAATTGCAGATCTAAAGGTAGCCATCCTGCAGCAAAAAAATTTCAGGACCAGACTTCAAAGAGAAACTGCTGAGCTACAGTTCATCTTCAAGTTTGACACAATCAACTCAGGATTAAACAAAGACTGTGAATGGCTCGCTAGCTACAAAAGCAGCTTCTCCTCTCTTGGAATTCACACCTCCAGATCAGCTACTAGAAGTGGGCCTCATCCTCCCTGATTGGATCCACCTTGTCAACTCCAGCCTGATTCTGGCCTGCATATTTATACCTGCCTCTGGAAATTTCCACTACATGCATCCTACGAAGTGGGTCTTTGCCCACGAGAGCTTATTCTCCAACACTTCAGTTAGTCTATAAGGTGCCACAGGACTCCTCGCCACTCCATCTAACAGAGATGCCCATGCTCGATAGGCAGGGCTCTAAGTTATTCCAAAGAATTCTGTAGTATTTCCTAGGTGTCTGGATGGTATATCTTGCCAGTGTGCTCAGCATCTAACTGATCTCCATATCTGGGCTCAGAAAGGAATTTTCCTCCAGGTCAGATTGGCACAGAATGTTTTTTTTTTCCCCAACTTCCTCTACAGCATGAGGCATGGGTCACTTATTTGTTTAACCCAAGTAAATGTTGGATTATTTGTACCTTGAAGGCTTTGAATCATTATTATCTGAGGATTTTAATAACTCAGCCAGAGTCTGTGGTCTGTTATTGGAGTGGGTACATAAGGCTTTATGGCCCATGATGTATGGGAGATCAGACTACATGATCATAATACTCCCTTCTAGCCTTAAAGTCTATGAGTTCATCTGAACTGGATATTTGTGATGACATTAAATAAAGCTTGCACAATCAAAGTGGAAAACATACTTTCAAACACACATATTGTGGCTGACTTTGGAAAGTATAAATATTCAAAAATAGGCTTATTTTACATTAACTTTGAACAAAACACCAGGTTTTCTATATTTTAAATAATTTAAAATTATTGCGTTCACGCTTAGTAACTCCTATTTTAGTATTGCTTAACCAGCAGCACTTCAAAGCAGTTTGTTAAACAATGATGATCAGATCTCCTGTATATCTTGTTAATCCACAATATTCCTTAGCTTTACAACAGCATCATTCTGTACTAAATTCCAGTGTTCAGGATGTAAATCTGAATTTTTCATAAAAGTTGTATTTAATTATTAATTCTCCCTGTCCATTTGTCTCTTAGTTTGTTATTACATGACATATTTTATATAGTAACTATTCTTCATTGCTAGTTTACCGCTCTAGGTATTTCACCTCATTGTACTCCATTGTTTTGTAGCAGGGCTCATGTTTTCTGACAAAACAATATGCTGAAACATAAAATACCCCAAGGAAATAAAAGGTAAAAAACCCTGTTTTTAACATTAGCATTATCAAACATGTCAAAATTTTAAAGATAAACTTGCTGCATTTTCAAGCATAATTTTGCACTTCAACTTCATGGAAAAATCTTAATTTTAAATTAATGTTTAGAATTTAAATGGACATTCACCAATACATCACTATTGTGGCTCTTTTAAGACAAGTATGACGTGAAATATAAAAATGTAAGCACTTTGAATACAGAGAAGTCAAAACTGGATCTTTCAACAAGTCTCTCCTGGAAATTTGATTGTAAAAAGCTGTCTATGATATTTCTAATATTCCTATAACAGTGACATTTAAGTGCTAGCCACCACCTGTCTCTGAATCAGGCATATTATTTTTATGAAAACTAACAGCCAACTGCCAGGGGTTTGCCAAATCACTTCCAAAATCACCTTAGTTTGCTCATCAGAAATTTGAGGCAAAACCATCACAACTCTCCAAAACTGTGAGATAATGGATCTGAATCTCTCATAGTGCACAAAACTCAGGTACTGAAGATAAGAAAAACAAAAGATAGATGTGATGCTGAAAGCCATAAAATGTGGATAACTGGTAAGACCAAAACTACATAAAGCTTCCAAAATTTAGTCAGGGTAGCTATCCATAAGGGTCCTTGAAAGACAACTGGTCAAAACACAGGAATGATTTTTAACTTCTCCTTTATGTGTCTGTCTACTATGAACTAATTTACTTGTGTTAAGGCATGGAATGACTGCTGTAGTTGTCACATTGTATCTGATATTGTATATCTCAGTAGAAACATGTTATGACCTTTACAGACACCTTGATTTGACAAAGATCAGCTTGAGAAGACATTCTGTTGCTGAGCTCTACATGTGTTTTTATTTTAAATAAGGAATGTTGTTTAGTGAATATAATTAACATTTAATGAATCGGCGCATCAGTGATTTCTATGTCTAACCAGGAACTGGTGAAACATTTAATGTATATGTTGATCGGTCAATGAAAATCATTAAGGGAAAACCAACAAAATTACCACAAAGACTTGTCAACTGCTTGATTAGAAGTATGTAAAGGAAAATAAATCAATGCATCAGTCAATTAAGGATAGTAAACAAGCAGTAATACAGAGGTTAAAATTTATACACCTGTTTCATGATACTGGTATTAAACAAATTAAAAATGTTGGAGAAGAGATTATTCAAAATTATTATAACACTGTTCAAAAGACTAATTAAAAAGTTTATAAAAGCATTAAAATGTGGATGAGTTTTCTGAATGACCAGAAAACTTCAAAATGTACTTTGCACAGGAGACATACTATATGAAAAGACTATAGCAGCAAGAGAAAGTGAAAATGCTATCACAAAAAGATTCTATTACTGGACAGAAGGGTTACAGAACCTGTGCTAATGAAACAATGAAAAACACTCAAATCAGGTAGTCATCTGTCAGTAAAACTGCTGAAATTGTAAACAAAATCACCACATAATCAGAAAATTCCAGATTATATGCATGGACAGATTTATGAGCACTAGGCTCTGAGAACTAAATCCACAGCAGAAGTGCACAATTATGAGTATGAAATTACATTTGATGGATTCTATTCCATAGCACTGTGAGAAGACAACACTTGAATCACAACTTATAGAATTCACAAAATCTTTTCAAAACTATTCATCATAACTAAAGAAATAAAAACCCTGGATAAAATGAGAAATTGAGAACTGAAACTTTCAAGATAACCAATGTAGTTTCTTCCTAATAGCAACTGCTAAAATTATCACAGATAAATATCTTTCCAATATTCTCTTTTATGTCTCTAAGAGTTCATCACAGCAATATCATTACAAGATGAAGCTATATCATCATTATAAATCAACTACCTCAAAGTGAAGTATCTACGTATCATGCCATTATGAATTGCCATCATGAGATGAAGAATTAATCTACATGCTGCTTTCTCTTGATGTGTAATGAAGATGAAATTTCTATATGATTATTTGGTTATATCATAATTAAATACTTCTTAGACTGTATGTATCTGTGTTATAAAAACCTGTAAATAACTGCAATACATAATACATATTTCTCTAACATGTTTAACCTTAGCTGTCAAGAAATAATCTTTAGTCAATAAATAGTTAAGAAAAATAAAATTGGTACATTTATTATGTTTAGTACAACTCTGCTTTAGAAGAAAGCATGCATGGACTAGAACACTAAATCACAAGTTTTTCAAATGATAAATGATTTGTGATGTCACAAAAAACAGCTTCTCAAACAAGAGACAGGAGCTTGAATTAATGAGTTATGAATTATAAACTCAAGGTTACCTTTTGCAAATATGCCTAAGTGATACAGAAGCCTATAGCCCATTTTCAAAGTGACTTAGGACTAGGTTTTAAAGGTATTTAGTCCTTACACGGATAAGCACCCTAGTGGAGTTTTCAAAAGCTTCTCAGCAACTAACTGCCACTGACTGATTGATCCCCCTTAAATTTTTGTAACCAAAGAGTTTACATGTTTAGTTTTAGAAAGAAAGTAAAGCAAAATTTCACTTTATAAATTACTGGTGAATAATAAAAGAAATCTGAAGTTGCTTAGACACATTAAAACATACGTGGTATTGTTTGAACAGGAAAAAGTTGCCTATTATTATTATTTGAGAAGGCAAATTAAATTGTATAGACATTTCAGTACTTAAGTACTTGATTACATTTTAAAATTTCAAACTTTAGAATTACTGTTGTTTGAACTATCATGGACAATTTTATTTCAATTAACAAATCTTAATTAACTCATTGATAACTTTTATTAAACATCCACACACATGTTGATATCAGTATAATTTCTGCAGGTTAATTCAGAAGAAATGTAACACTATATGTTATGATGTGGGTTTACTTTAATTTGATTTTTTTTACTTTTTGCTAAGTTTTAACATCATATGAATACGTTCATTCTTACTTTACAATTCCTTGTTTAACTTTAAATTGCATTTTGATTAATAAAAATTATAAATTCCTAAGAAGGTGTGCTTTAGTTTAAGCAATTGGAAATGTCACTGCTATTGTCAGAAATCTTTCATGCATAACTGATTAATTAAATTTACTTAAGTAACATGTTATGTATACAGTATCAATCTGCCCAACTTTCTCATATATACCTTTCTCACCATACTTTATCATTAAGCTGCCTTAATTTAAAGGCTACACAACAGTAAGGATTTCATTCTACCTTTAAAGGAAGAGTCACATTTTTCTTTGCTTCAGCAAAAGGTCATTTAGTTTGGAATAACAAGAATGCTAAATTAAAGAGGCTATCAGTTTAAACTGTTGCTCTCCAGAACAGACTTGTCATTTACAACTGGGACTGAAACTGTGAGAAGAAAATGCCTACTAACTTTCAGGTTAGAAAGGTGTAAATTGCTTGCCCTCACACTACATGAAACAGAAAGGTTGAGAAGACATTTTATTTTTGTATCTAAGATTAACTGTAATAAAATCCTCTGAGAGTGCCAACAAGTGCTGAGGGAGAAAAAAAAACTTAGGATAAAAGAAGGTTCTCTTTCTTTTCAATCCACTTTATTCAAATTTTCTCCTCATTCCCAAGAGTTAGGTCATGCCAGGAATATTTTTAAATTTTATATTCCTTTTCATATTTTTAGTTATAATTGTATCAGAAGTGCTTTCTTCAATGAATTTCTTAGCTGGTGGACATGGCACAGTAGACTAAACAAAACATCATGTTGGCAAAAAATGTGAAATCAATAGCTTCTAATGCTATCAAGGTTGTTCAGTCCTAAATCTTTCAAGGATAAATTAAGTTCTGTTTAGTTCCTGAATTTAATATTCATGTGTGCCATGAAGCAACCAAGACATAAATTATTTTTTTCTTATTATTTGTATTACTCTAGTGCCTAGAAGCCCTAGTCTTGGATTTCAGTGGGGCTATACCAATGTACATCACTTGTTAAGAGTGGCTGGTTAAGAGTGTTAAGAGTGGCTGGTAGTTACTGACCATTTTTTTCATAAAACCCAACTGTTTTGCACTATGCTATCGGTTTTGTTCACCAGCCTTGAAGAAGAGGTTTCACAATGGGTTCTGCATATGTTTATTACAGGGAAAACCTTTGGGATTACAGCTAGAGCTCTGCTGGGGTACAAATTTATACTAGCAAATGCAGATATCTGCAGATACAAATTGGTATCCACAGAACTGCAAGCCTCTGCACCTGAGATACAGACAGAAGGGACAGGAACATGGGGTAGTACAGCCACACCTGATGCGCTGCCAGTGTGAGGTGATGGCTCCTGGGAGCAGCAGCTCCATATTCTTGTCCTTTCCTGGAAGAGCCCTGTAGTTTCACAGATGATGATTTACATCTGCAGATATCCACATCCATTGGAATAAAATTGCATTTGTGCAGGGTTCTACTTACAGTACTACAGAAAGATTAAACTTATTATTGTATTTAAAATATTAGGTAAGATGATCACAAGAAGGAATTCCAAAGACATGAAATCAAATACATATTTCCTAGTATATTTTTAATATCTATTGAGATAGGTCACATGGCTAGAATGAACATCTTTCATTGATGCTTCTTACAATGGAACAACTAGAGTGGTTCAGCCTGCTAAATTGCACACTGATTCGCTAATACAGGCAGTCCCCGGGTTACATGGATCCGACTTACATCGGATCCCTACTTACAAACGGGGTAAGGCAACCCCGCACTAGCTGCTTCCCCTGAGCAGACCAGGGAGACGCGACCCCCAGCAGACCAGGGAGACGTGGAGCGGCTTTTCTCAGCAGACACCTCAGCTTGAGAATAAAGGACTGAGGGAAGTGAGGTGTGGGAGAATAAAACTGAGCTCTGGAGAAATGTTTGGCTAGAGTTTCCTCTACAGTATGTACCAGTTTCGACTTACATACAAATTCAACTTAAGAACAAACCTACAGTCCCTATCTTGTACGTAACCCGGGGACTGCCTGTACAGCAATGGGGCAGAGTGAACCAAGCTACATCAATTGCACGAGAACAATGTCTGAAATCCATTACCTAATCACTGCATATACTTCAGCATTTTTAACAACTGAATATTCAAATATTTTCAAATGTGACCTCACAGACTATAGCTTATTTGCTATATGCAAAATTTGTGATATCAACACACTTATGAAGAAATAAACTCAAGGTAATATATCGTATGAAGTTCTGAACAATGACATAAAATGAACTTGAAGGAACTGTATTATATTCCTACCTCTCTGTTTTAAGTGCAGCTATCTGCTAATGTCTACTAAGCAAAAGCATGTACTTTATCTCTGTGGATGCCATTGTATCAATACATTTTGTTGAAAACATTACCATGCAAGCATATTCATCAGTTCTCTTTACGTTTTAAAAGATTTCTCACTTTGAATGGAATAGTTATATTTTTTCTTCTCTCATCTTTCAACATGTACATTTGAGATAAAGAAGGATTTCTTATCTGAAATTATATATTATCTATTGTAAAAACATCAGTATGTACTTGGATTATGTAAATGTCTTTAATTCTCATCCAGAAGAATTTTCTTGTTCTCATGTGTGTGTGTCTGTCCATCCATCCATCTTCCTGTCCATATTTCCCAGGGCTTTTTTTCCCTCCTGGTTTGGTAAGGTACTAGTCATGTATTTTATTAGATAATTACACTACCGGTAATTAGATAATTACAATAAATCATATGATGGCTGTCTACACTATGAATTAAGGAGGTAAGTCCCCTTTTCATCATCTCTCATCAAGCTGCATGTTGTGACCATATCCATATTTACTGCACGTTATTCAATGCTTGCTGTAAAGACAGAATGTACAAACAGCAGCATTGCCCAGTAACATGGCTTGTGGTAGAGGAGGCAAAGCCCCACGCTCAGTACATACTTAGCAGTTTCAGGCAGGACTGTACTCAGCACAACATGCCTGCTCTGTGGCTGCAATACTACCATTTGACACTGCCTTTTGTATTTGCATTAGCTCAGTAAGAGCCAACATGATTACCTGCACGTGAACAGGGAAATGACACCTTGCACATAGTGCTGACAGACTAAAAAAGCGATGGGCAATATGGAGTCTGTGGGCCAGACATAGTTTGTCAGGGTTTATCCTGGTGGTCTACTGGAAGCTTTATTTGCTTGTGCATCCACAGGTATGGCCGCTTGCAGCACCTATTGGCTGAGGTTCGCAGTTCCCAGCCAGTAGGTCCTATGGTAAGCAGTGGCCCTGTCCATGGCATTTACTGCAGCTCCTATTGGCTAGGAACGACAAACTGCAGCCAGCGGAATCTGCGAGTGTTCATACCTGTGGATGCGTTGGTAAAGAAAACATTTGTCAGCTCACCAGGGCTAAGTCTGAGAAACTGCCTCCAGTCCATGCTTATGGACCAGCCCTGGTCTAGAAGAGCATTAACAACACTGTAAGTCACACACACATACACAGCCTTAAGTCAGCCCTCCACAAAACTCCCCCCTCCCCGTGCATATGCATTATGATAGAGTCTAATTATGTGCTGACATACTATTTTTTCCTGTAATACTCATGTCTTACTTGGTGCACTAGCTGGATGCTGCTGATCAATATTTTGTGTTCTCCTTGATGTTCCAAGTGTGACCCCAGACCATATTTACTGCACGTTATTCCAAGCTTGCAGTAAAGATAGAATTATAAATTTCCTCCTGAACCATATAATGGCATTCATTACTATAGCACCTGTGTGCTTCATAAACATTGAAGAATTTATTTTCAAAAGACCTCTGTAAAAAATCCGGTATCATTATATCCATCTTTCAGATATGGCTGACAGCTAACTAACTAAGGTTAAAAATATCCATTGAATCTGGGTGCCCAATTCGAGATTACTAGCACCTAATTTTTCAGAACACTCAGTATCTTAGAGCACCAGGTATGTTCATAGCGAAGTCCACGTCGACTTTAGTTGCAGCACTGGGAGCTTAGCATTTCTGCAAATCACATAGAGGAGTCTCCAAATCAGGCGCCCAGAAAATGAGGAACATAATGTGCAACCGTAATAATGTTATTGCAGTGTACTTTTTCTGGAAACGTGAGGCA